TAAAGAGCAAGCCCTTGAGCAAGAGAGATTACAGCTAGAGCAGCGTATGCAAGAACTGGAGCTCAGCAAAGAAATGGCGAAAATTGAAGCAGAAGAGAGGATTTATAGCGCAGCAATGGCCAGTGACCACTCAGCGGCAAAGTTTAGCGACCATTCAGCGACAAAGTCATACTCACCTGAAACAAAGCCTCTTATCCTCGGTGAAGAAAAAATCGGCGAAGCTAAGGATGCAAGAACCTCGGTGATGAAAGCATCAAGTAAAGCTGGTACAGGAATAAGACCTGTAGAACGAATGAAAACGAGGCAGCCAATTACTCAAACACATACCCGGGAAACTACTAGCAATGCCAGTTCAGAAGTAGCTGAGGAATTTCTTCGTACAGTAGCGAACATTCAACAGCAACAACAAGATCAGATGCGTCAAATGTACAAAATACAAGATTCTCGTGATCAGCAGCTCCAACAGATGTTTGGCTATCATCAGCAGATGGCTTCGGCGATATCTTTGCCAAATGTGAAGGTGCCAGTATTTTCTGGCGATCCTGTTGAGTACTGCCACTTTCTTAGATCATTTGAGAATTTGATCGAATCAAAAACGTCCAGTTGTAGCTCAAGGTTATTCTATTTGGTTCAGTATACTCCTGGAGAAGTCCAAGACCTGATGCGTAGCTGTTTAACAATGAGTCCAGAAGCAGGTTATGAGGAGGCAAAACGGCTTTTAAAAGAGAAGTATGGGCAAAACTACAGCATTGCTACTGCGTACGTTAATCGGATCATTACGGCGCCTCCAATAAAATTAGAAGATAACGTAGCTCTCCAAAGTTTTGCAGTTCTCCTTGTTAGCTGCAGAAATGCTCTAAAAGAGATAGGATATCATAGTAAGGTTGAAAACCCAGCCCTCGAAAACGAGGTCGGCATTCGGCAATGCCGACCTAAATGCCGACCAATCAATCTTCTAGGTCGGCAAAAATTTGCCGACCTTATTTAGCCGCGATTACGAAAATATTAAATTTGATTCGTAGTTTGATTAACTAAACACACTTCACCTTGGCTGTGAATTAAAAAATTGACGGGTATCCTACAAATAATTTAGGTAAAATAAAAAAAAAAGACGTATACTGTAACATAAAAATAAAGAGGCTTATGAATTAGGACGCTGACTTTTTCACGTTCTTATTCTTTTTGTCATAAACAACTCCATATATGGAAGTTGGTTCCATATATGGGTTGTTTTGCAATTTTGTTTAATATCTGGTTTTAAACATTTTCGCAAATGGTTTTCGTTTTCTGCTATTTAAAAAGGCTGAATGCCATCCAAGAAAACTGTCGATAACTGGGGATTTTCGTGTTTGGGTTATGATATTGGTGATAATAACGAAGTGACGCTGATATGGTGTAAGACGTGCAGAGAGTTCTTTAGTTTCCAAAGCAACACCGTTGCCCAAGCAAAAGGTGTTGCAGCAATCGGTTCTGAAGTCTTCATCAAAGGTACTGCCACGGTAAAGAAGAATAATTTTGCCGAGCATGTTAAGAAAAGCCAAACGCACGCAACAGCAGTTTTACGACTTGCCGAAGCTGAGAAAATATCGACGCCTGCATCAGCAAGCTCCAGTACGTCTGCAATTGCAAGTGGGGCACCAAAACAGAGTACTTTGCTCCCCTGTCTGCAAAAAATAAGTGCACTCCATAGACAGCAACTTACCAAAAAGTTCCAGTTAGCACACTTCTTGATTGGGAAAAACAAGTCTTTCAAGTTTTATAAGGATATGGTGTCATTTGAAGAGCGTGTACACCACGTTGATATGGGATCAAGCTACAACAGTGACAAATCGGCAAAGGAGATCGTTTCCTACATCAGCAAAAGTGTCGTCTTGACTGAAATAACTGAACCTTTGAACAGTAATGCTATTAACTATTACAGTATTTTGAATGATGGAAGCAGCAGTGCCAAAACTAATGATGAAAAAGAAATTTTTCTCATCAAAACTGGTGCAAAAGGAGTTCCAAAATTTGAGGTTATGAGCCTAGAAGAACCCGAGAGCTGCAACGCCGAGGGCTTGCAAAAAGCCTTGAGAGTAGCTACTGGTAGAATGAATTTTTCTTTCCCACGATCCCAAAAGGAATTGGGAATGTGCTCAGATGGCGCTTCTGTCAATGTAAAGCTCCACCAGCTCGTTCAAGAGGAGCTTGGAGAACATTATACTCTGGTTTTGTGCCCTTCACGCAAAGTGGAACTTGCCATTGGAGATGCATTTAAGATGTCAGAATTAAATACCCATTGCCAAGAAGATGTTACGAATGTCTACTACCTCTTCAAAAAAGCCACATTGCGATGGCGTCTATTCAAGCAACACGCACGATGCATTGAATTTCACTACCTGCGATATAAGCGTCCAACTGGAACTCGTTGGACCGAGCATCAAACGGCAGCGTTACGGTCATACAATATTAATCTTCCGCTTCTAATTGGATACTGCAATAACCAGATTGCTAATCCCTACAACGACACCATGAAAAAGGTGGTACCTAAACTGCAAGGAATTAGAAATATCACGAAAACTAATCATATTCTCTTCAATGCTATCAAGCAAGACATCTTGGCCGGAATTAGCCCCATGACAAAGGTTCTGCAGGATACACAACTGATCTTGCCTGATCTGATCACACTTTGTTCGTCAACACAAAAAACAGTGAAAAAGCTAAGGAAATTGCTTGACGACAATGGTACCGAAGTTTTCGAGAGAGTAGATATTTTCCCCGTATGTTCGTCGTTTCTCTCCTCGATAAAGCAAGAAGTTGCCAACCTGATTCCTGAAAGACATTTACGCTCGGCTGCTACCGATAATGTCGAAAATTGTTTGTTTCACGACTATGTGATCAAAGGAAGTGCGGAGACTGCTGCACGTCAGTGTCTTCACGAATACCGCAAGATTGTTCAGAAGTTGGAAGCCACACTTGATGAGCGGATGAGCTCCATCACAAAGGACGATTTTTTCTTGGTGGTTGCTGACGTTTTGAACACCCAGGCATACTTGTACAAAACATGCGACAAGCTATTTTTAAAAGTTTCCGTGATCGTTACGAAGTTCAAGAGCTTACTGACAGCAAACGGATGCCAGTTAACCAAGCTGGAGTGTGAGCTAGATATTTTGAGGGAACATGTCACGAAGTTCTTGCCCTGTGTCACGCCTATACGTGCTTGGCCTCAGATCTTCGCTATGAAACATGCGTTGGGAGTGCAAAATATTCTGCACGTAATTGAGCTTGGCATCGCACTTCCGATCGGCAATGCGGAATCAGAAAGAGTTTTCTCTTTCCTTTGGCGTATTTTCAGTAAAGAACGCCAATCACTCGGCAACGATGTGATGTTGGATGTTCTGCGTTTGAGATGCGACACTAATTACGACCCACAGCGTTACGAAAGAGCAATCGAGCTCTTCCTATCCGAACACCCTTCTGGGAATGTACGCCAACTCCATCGACGCTTGGATGGGCATCGACCAGCAAAGCGACCAAGAAAACAAAAATCTGTTTCAACCAAGTCGTTTCGACAGGCACTTGACGACGCAGTGCAATCGTCCGATTCGACGGCGTCGTCGTCAGAGGAGGACGAAAGTGCGGAACAGCCACGGCGCGAAATCCCTCTCGAGGAAATTTCAGATGACGAGTCTCAGTGGTCTGAAAGACAATTCTTGAAGACTTAATTCAGTCTTATTATAATAGCGATTGATACATCAGGCGGAAAGCGTAATTTAAAAATGAAAATTAAAGCACAGCAAATAACTTTCAAACAAGACATAATTTGTATTTTTGACCAATTGTCGCGTTGCTAGTCTACAAGTATACGACATGAACGAAGAAAATTTGGTAGAACTTCCCAAAGTTTTCACTACCGAGAAAATACCTGTCAGTGAGTCAAGCATACCTAGACAAGAAGACGTTGATAAATGGCCTCATCTAAAGAATGTCCAGCTGAAAAAGATAAATAGTACCGTCAGTCTCTTAATTGGGAATGACGTTCCTAAAGCTTTTGAACCTAAAGAAGTGATAGAATGTTCCGGAAAGGGACCTTATGCTGTTAGAACAGTGCTTGGTTGGACTGTCAACGGCCCTCTTGGACGACGTGGAGCAGGCAATCGTAGCGTGAACTTCATTAACTCAGATAACAGTCTTAATGAGCAGTTTCAAAAATTCTGTGACATGGAGTTTAACGATTCTACGTATCATGGACAAGCTGAAATGTCGAAAGAAGATTCACGCGCCTTAGGCCTTATAGAAGATTCGATACGGCTGAAGGAAGGTCATTATGAAATTGCGCTACCCTGGAAGGAATCCCCTCCATCCCTGCCGTACAATCGCCCATTGGCAGAGCATCGTTTGAACCTTCTTAAGAACCGCCTACTGAAGAATCCCGACCTCTTGAAGAAATACTCGAATAACATGGACGATCTTCTGGCAAAGGGATATGCGACCAAGGTCCCTCAATTTGATGTGGAGAATCCTCAACAGCCACTGTGGTACTTGCCTCATCATCCCGTTTACAACCCGAATAAGCCGGATAAGATCAGAATTGTGTTCGACTGTGCAGCCGAGTATCAAGGTACATCGCTGAATGCCAATTTGTATCAAGGTCCAGATTTAGCAAACGGACTATTTGGTGTTCTGATATGTTTCCGCGAAGATCCAATAGGGATGATGGCTATCTTCAACGTTGGAACACTTGGATACAAGAGTTACCAAAGTTAGAGCAGCTTCGCGTGCCTAGGTGTATGAAACCGCGGTTTGCGAATGAGGCCAACGCTAGTACCAATCAGTTGCATACCTTTGCTGATGCGTCACAAAGCGGTTATGGTGCAGTCAGTTATCTGAGATTTAGTGACAACGAAGGCAATGTCTATTGCTCCTTTGTCATGGCAAAGTCACGTGTAGTACCTCTAAAGGCGATTACTGTACCACGGCTAGAGCTGTCAGCTGCAGTTGTAGCATCGAGACTTGATAGAATGATTCGAAAGGAGACCGAGATCCCAATTGATAGCTCATTCTTTTGGACGGACAGTTCATGTGTCTTGGGCTATCTTTACAATGAAAGAAAACGTTTCCAAACGTTTGTCGCCAACAGAGTAGCAACGATACTTGAAACGAGTGCCCCAACTCAGTGGAGACTGGTACCCGGTAAACAGAATCCCGCGGATGATGCATCTAGAGGACTTTCTGCGAACGCCTTGTTGAGTAGCAAGAGATGGTTCGACGGACCAGAATTTCTCTGGCGCAATGAAGAATGCTGGCCAAAGCAAACCATCCACCCATTAGTATCTGATGACGACCCAGAAGTGAGACAACCACATCAATCCCTTCTTGTTAAAGTTGACACACGAGACTCCATGGAAGAAATCTTCGCGAGATTTTCATCGTGGGAAAACCTAAAGAAATTCGTGTCCTGGATGCTTCGCTATCGTGCAAATCTGTATAAGTCTATTCGTTCAACCAATAATGAAAGGAGTCCTGATAAAGTGGACTGTTCTAGCTTCGTAGTTGAGCCTATCTCCGTGGATGAAATGCTGAATGCTGAAATGAAAATAATCAAGAGTGTTCAAAGAAGATATTTTCACGAAGACTTATCCCGTCTTATGACCATGTCTGGAGATTCTCAGAATACTCCAATTGTAAAGAAATCAAGTCAGCTTTCCAAATTGGACCCCATAATAAGAGACGGCATCGTATGTGTGGGCGGACGTCTATCTAACTCACCATTATCGGAGGAAAGTAAGCATCCAATTATCCTCCCTAAAGATAGTCAAGTTTCGCAGTTAGTCGCATTGTATTTCCATCATATCTCTGGGCATAGTGGAATGGAACATGTCCTCTCGTTAATCCGACAACGCTTCTGGATCATTGGAGCCCAAAAGATGTTAAAGCGAATCTTGAACAGATGCGTAAACTGCAAAAGACGCCAAGGTCATGTTGGGGAACAAAAAATGGCCAATTTGCCTGAGCAACGCGTAACCCCAGACCACCCACCATTTACATTTGTTGGTGTTGACTGTTTTGGCCCGTTTCTCGTGAAGAGGGGAAGAGCATTGGTAAAAAGATATGGAGCGCTATTTACGTGCCTGGCGATACGAGCTGTACACATTGAAGTTATTCATGCTTTGGATACTAACTCGTTTATTCATTGTTTGCGCAGATTTATCGCGAGAAAGGTCCGTGATAAGAGATAGATCGGACAATGGGACTAATTTCGTAGGTGGTGAAAAGGAGATTCGCACTGCAATTAATCAATGGAATCAAGAGCAAATCCATCAATCTCTACTACAACATAATGTCAAATGGATTTTCAACCCTCCATTTGGGTCACATTTCGGAGGAGTTTGGGAGCGCTGTATCAAAACCATCAGGAAGATTTTATGCGCACTCCTCAAGCAGCAGCATGTAGATGATGAATGCCTGATGACCATCATGTGTGAAGTTGAATCTATCATGAATAGTCGGCCGCTTACGAAAGTATCGGATGATCCCAAAGACCTGGAAGCCCTTACGCCAAACCATCTTCTCCTCCTGCGACCAGGTACATCTCTTCCTCCTGGAGTATTTAATCAATCCGATTTATATAGCAGACGCAGATGGCGGCAGGCGCAGTATCTATCTAACGTCTTCTGGCGGCGTTGGCTGAAAGAGTACCTACCCGAATTACAACGGAGGCAAAAATGGATAAAACCACAAAGGAATTTTTCTCCAGGAGATATTGTAATGATTGTGGATCAATCTTCACCGCGAGCAACTTGGCCGTTAGGACGTATTTTGGAAGTACAAATGAATCCTGAAGATGGGCATGTACGAAGTGTGATTTTGAAAACGAAGAACTCAGTTCTAAAACGCCCAATCGATAAAATTGTTTTGTTAGAGACAGATACTTAGATCTGAGGACAGCGAGCATCGAACATCAATTTGAAATCATGGATTTTATTTAAATGTTCCAGAACGTGACATTTAGGGGCCGGAATGTAGATTTCAAATGATTAATTTAGCTTTAGAAATTTTATAGGTTATTAGATATGCATGAATTAGTACTAGATTATTTATTCAAATTAGTTGTTGAAATAGACTTGTTATTGTGAAAGGTTTTCAGTAGACTTTAGACTTCGAACAGCTTCTGGCTAACATCAGTTATCTACCGATCGAAACATCTACCTCTTTGTAATTGAAATATCTATTTATCTATCCTTCTCTGGACACTAAAGTCTGTAAGTAAACGTTTGTAATTTGTTAGTCATACACTGTAATTGTACTCACTTATGTAATATGTTTGTTATGTAGTTGAACCGTAACTAAATGTTTGTGCGAGTTCGGAGACGATGTTCAGAGTCAGGATTGCAAGTTATACGCAGTTTCCTCTTGTAATGGTTTTGGGAACCCAAATCTGCACTCTTCAGGCAGGTCAACCCTCTTCTTTTTCAGGCAATACGCTGGACTGCATCTGGTGTGCCTCTCTACTGAATTTACTAACCTGTGATAATCAACATCATGATTATCAACTGATGTGGCTTTCACTGGAGAAGGGTGTGGATCTGGTACTGTCCAGTTCTCATCAGGCAGATCATCATTAACTGTGGTCACAAGCCAGTCAACATAACTTTAAAAGGGATAAAAAGTAACAAATTGGTTAATACCTAATTTGTATATTTTTTCATATTTGCTGTTTACACTCCCAATTCCTTAACAATAGGAATTACCAATTCCTGAAGAAAATATACGGAATTTTGTTTTGTTTTGTGAATGTATGTGGAAGTTGTATTTTTAGACATTTGCAACATTGCAGCATTTGTATAGTATGCTAACCACTGATGCTAACTGTATACAGTAGGCTAAAAGTCTGGAAAAAAGTCTTATAAGTGTTCCACAGCACACATTGGACACAATCTTTGCAATCTATATGCATGGTGAGTGTAATTTAAACATACCATTTGATGATTTAAACTTACCTAATTAGCTTTCTCTCCGCATCTTGACCCTCTCTGACAATATCCTGGCAAGAGAATTCAAAATCGTCAGGGGACATTTCATTTTCTTTCTCTTTCTCAAGCACTGCTTTACATGCACGTTTACGTAATAACCGAATATCTGGATCATTCTTTAATTCAGCACATCCATGAGCATGTATACTTCCTCTGGCCTGATATTCAAACCTATACCAAAACCATTCAGCATCCAAGACTCCTTGAAGCCAATGTTTGATAAACTCCTGTAGCCTTTGCATGAAGAACCAATCCGTCAGGTGTGGATTGTCTATCACTGCTTGTGCTCTTTCTGTTCTTGATGCCCTCATTACTTTGCAACAGTCTTTGCAAGTCTGGCCAATGGCTATCAGCTGCACTAAAAGTAAAAAAAAAGGTAGGGCAACCTTTTTGTTCAATCAGGGCTAATAGTTCTTGCAGTCGCTGATACCAATACTGATTTGTTCCTTGAATTTTTGAAACATATCGTTGCAAACGATTTACCATTTGATTTGCACTCATCGAGTTCACCATTGTCTTCAGCTCCTCCATAGTCATGTTTGCATCCGCTGGATGTTGCCGCAAGTAAATGTTAGCTTGTGACAACAACTGATGTCTCTGCTTCATATTCAGTGCCCAGTATGGGAACCGAGGATGAGAGGCAAACCTCCATTCAAACTTACCATTTGGTAGCCTCTCTGCAAACTTCACTAGGTGTTTGAATGCCTCTGCCAAACTTACCTCATGTTGCCTGACTCTGTTTGTTGGGTCACTTTTCCCATAGGGAAATAGTGTTGGAAATGCCATGCTTGCCAAACCATCTGTTTTAAATTCATTAACAGCATTACCTTCTGTAGATGGCCAGTCCAAAGGGTCAACCTCATTTACTGCATCTTGGATAGCTGCACCATCCTTTCTTTGTCTTTGACGCATAGGAATAAATGATGTACTGCCATTTCCTAAAACTAATTCTTGAACTGTCGCATTAGCACTCATTACAGGTTCTTACGGGGGCCCTCATTTTCAACATTAACTGAAAGTTCATTGTCATCAATAACATACCTTAGCTCTTCAGGGAACCATTCTCTGGTAGGCTTTGGATAACATCCCTGTCAATCTCAATGTCTTTGAAAAATGGATTGTTTGTTTTCAACCACAAATAGCTTCCAGCACTCTGTGTCGACGAACTGTAAAATCTTTATGTGTTTCATCAGCACCCTGTCTACGCACAATCATAATAGGCAAGTCAGCTACTTGTGCAGGCAACCTATTCAAAAACTTTGAATATCTGTGGTAAGTTTAGTACATGGCCTTTATAGCCCCTTTGCCCACCATGTTTTCTGTAGACTTGCATGATGGGGCAAACCCTTGAAATCAGCATTTCCTCTACCTGTGTCAAACCTCTTAATTGCTCAGGAACAATACCTGGGTCCATGTCATTGCCAGCACTGAAATTCTTTGGGGACTTCTTGTCTCTTTTGCACCGGTAACAAACAAAGGGATCTGCTGCCAAGTTTTGCCTTGTTGGCCAGGCCTCTTTACAAATTGTACACTGCCGATGCTCTAAATGCTCTTGATCTAAATGAAAACTGTGCATTTCATTCTGAACAAACTCCTGCTCATGTACGGGGTTGTCAACATTTTGCCAACCACCTTCATGCAAATATTGGTCTGAACTACTCACAACATCATTGACATTTGTTAACTCATTGTCACACATTGTACTTTCCTGTTCATTATCTGAATGTACCTGTTGTTGTTCTGCTCTTGTCTCATAGGATCTTCTCGTTATTTCTCTCATATTTTCAAGTTGTTCTGCTCGTTTCTGAACACTCTGAAGCTGCCTTCTCTCTCTTGCATAAGCCCTATTTGCTTCCCTTTGTATATCCCTTTGTTCACTTGTGCTTGCTTCAGTCCTACGTTTATAAGCAGCCCTACGCTTCGCCAAACGACATTCCTTCTGTTTTGGCGATTCCTGTTTTGATATTTTTCGTCTTTTTTCTCTTTGCTTTTCTGTTTCATCGCTTGTACTTACCTCAACTCTTCTCTTGTATGCAGCCCTTTGCTTTGCTAATCGACACTGCTTTTCCTCTTGCGTTTCTATTATAATCTTCGTGATGATGAATACTCACATCAATTTCATTGATTTATCATTTTCATTTGGATTTCAAGTAAAACTTCCTAAAAATAAAACAATTTCAGACAATATTGACATAATTATTATGCACATCAAAATTCACGCCGGGTCAGCTGTCGCAAAAATTTGTTCATTCAACGACGGCGATCACTACAAATTTAGTCAGTGGTTTTCGCCCTAAAAGCAATATGGCGCGTGCGAAGGAGTGTTTTTCTGTTGAAGAAGTTGTGAAAATTTGTGCCCAAGATAATGCTCACGACCACCGAAAAACTTCGAAAGACTTAGGAAATATAATACAAATGTCTCTGGACAAGTTCAAGC